TTTTTTTTTTTTTAATGAATTACACAATAAAATTAATTCATTAACGCATAAGGTTAGATTAAATTAAAAAAAAAATTGTTTTTGATGATTTAGCGATAGAAATTAATAAAATGTATTTTCGTAGATAAACATAACCTGAGTCAAGATTATAAATTCGATAATCTTTCAGTGTAAATAGATAGATATCGTTTTTTTGTGTTTTATAGATAAACGAAATCGAATACACCTTCTTTTTCTTTTCTCTCTGATTTCCTTCTTTTTCTTTAAAAGGGTCATTATGATATGACGGAGAGAACCACACCTTTGTCAATCGTTTTTGATCTGATATAAGCAGTTATAGGAAGTAAATAAAACCCGATAACTCTTCATGCTGATAAATACCGATGCGTTTCTAAATTTATAAAATTTATTATAACTACCATTTATAATGGAATCGCTTTTTTTCATAGCGGTCGAAGCTATAAATTTCGGATCGTGCCAAATCGAGAAAACATACCGAGTACGTGACATCTTCCAAGTGCATATACATATATTGTCTGATTTATGCGCATGCGCATCAATTCTAGCTTACGGCAAAGTACGAACTTGTACGAAGGTCGAGGCGATAAATTAACCTCGTCTAGTATAAGTTTTTGTGCATAAAAATATGAAGGAATATTCAATTTACATTCGAAAATTTTTTTGATATTTATAAAAAAAATATGCTTTCATACATTGAAATGAAAAATACAGTATAAAAGATTTTAATAAGATTATCGATTCTTCTCATTATTTACGATTTTTTGTGATAATTTTTAGATAAATGGATTCGATTAATTCATTCATTTAATTTCAAATTGAATTGAAATTTTGTTCTATTATTATCTATATCTCAAAACATGGAATTTTACCGTACCTCAAAACTGAAATTCGTGACGCGCGAAAACGATTTAGTAACGTCTATGTTTATCGTTCCGGACATTCCTTAAGTTTTCGCGTGAACTGCGAGCGGATAGGTGGGTGAATCTTGTGGGTGGGTGATTACTCTTCTGTTAAACTTGTTACTCGTTGGTATTCTAAGTAATTTTAGCGATGATACGTATAAAAACATGGTTCTCGATTATAAACCGTAATTTTATTATAAATATATGCATAATAAATTTTCTCTTAGATACGAAGGAATTGATTATTTTACTGAGATATTAAAATTTGATTCACAAGGTATATTCGCATTTTATCAGATGTTAATAAACTGATAATTGCTATATATATAATATTCAACGGTATAGAATATATTTAAAAAATTAGAGAATTATGAGATTACTGATTTATATTCCTAATAAAATCAGAAGAGATTAATTATATCATTTAAATAATGATTTTAGAATTCAATTTTTATAATTCATTTTTAAACTTCAGCAGACTTTATATCTTACTTAATAAAAAAGAAACAAAAGATCAAATATGATGAAGTGTAATGTTAAGTTAATTACAAGATGGAATGGAAAGACGATCATTGACGATCTATCGCGATTTTTCTGATCGGTGTGCAATTCTTGTGCGATGATGCTTGAACTCTAAGAATTGTTTTTACGTATGCTATCTATCGCAAATCGGCCTTCGTTAACGATCAGTATAGCTTGTAATTTTAAAGATGATAGGCCTCGGTTCTTTGGTGTCGTTGTCTCGTCTCCTTATGAGAGTGAAGGACGCGATTCTTCTCCTTCCTGCGTCCTTTTGTGCTTTCTGGGAAACGTGTGCGTCGGGTATAATACATCGCGCGCGTGTCCCCGTCTGCCGATTGGTCAATGCGATAATGGCGAACGCGAGGTTGTCGCTACGTGAGCTGCGATTCGAGCCAAGTCATTAATATCGTCCGTAGTTGGAGACATATACACTTTTATAACGTCGATGAAATCCATTGGGTTGCCCGACGATTGTTTTTCACGGACAATTGTTCGTGCCACGAAACACGTCGTCGAATCGGTTTTTCGATATCTAAATCATTGGTTTTGATTTCATTACGTACGTAGGGAAGAATAGAGACGACAGGTGGCGTGTTCGATGTCATACCCTCGAACCGATATGCTACATATACATATCCATGCTAACGTATTCTGTACACGTGTTCATACTTAATGTCGAAAGATTAACATCTCTTATTGTTAATACCGTATGTTATGAGAGTCGTATTAAAATTATGATTGAGTGTCACGTAAGGTCGTTAAATGGTGTAATTTTTGAAAGGCCCGCCATTACTATTTTCGGATGCAAGGTAACCAAGATTGGAACGTGTAAACAGAATTCAAGATCGGGGATTGAGAAGGGAGGTCGATCGTTGGATAATTACATATTAGGAATGTCGCGATAATTCGTCGTAATTTTAGCGATGATGATAACCGATAAACACAATATATAGCTTGAAACGTTGACAATCGTCCCTTGAACGATCTAGTTTGTACCGATAGCTTATCGAGTTATTGGATCACGGATATTTTTATCGGGAACATCTTGGTGGATTAGCGGTACGAAGTGATATCGAAGCAAAAAGGCGAAATGATAACGTTGATGGAAATATCGCGTATCTTTCTGTTAGTGATCTCTCCTTTTCTTAATTCTTTTTCTGACTACTTGCGTAACGCCCTCTTTTTCCTTGAAATGAAAGCGTTTATTGGAATTGGTTTCATTGCCTAACAGCACCTTGTCGATAATCCGATGAATTTTTTTTTTTTTTGTTTTATATATATATATATATATATCTGATCGGGTAATAAACTGAGTGGTGATCTAATGCGCAATTCGTTTGAAAGGCAATCGCGTTCCACAGCCACCGTCGAAAAACATCGGTTTCCTAACTGTTTTGTTATCTCTCCACATCTGGTAAACCCGCGTTTTGTGCCGTGTTGCATGGTCATCGAGCTGTGCGCTAGTCGCTCGTATAATGCGCGCGTTATCATTATCATTACTGAAAAATAATATATCAATTTCGTTAATTCTATGTTGATTTTATGCTGATTTCGCATAACTGTGGAGGCTAATGTTTGGACAGCGCTTAGTAAGTTTGCTTTTTGCGGTTTAGACAAACAAGGTGTTATTTTTAGTGTAGTGCAGGTGCTGAAATAATAAGAATACTTCAAACAATTGTAACATTATCTAAGGTTTAAAACACAATTTAATCAAGTCTCTAAATAAGGTACACAGATTTGTCTCATATAATAATCATGAATAGAACAAAGAGAAAATAATTTTTCGAAGAATTTTGCATCAAACATATGGATGTTCATTGATGCTAAGCTATATTGTTTTATCCATCAAGCACGTTCCACACTTTTTTTTTTTTTTTAAATTTAAATCGTTATTAAGAAAAAAAATCATTGCATAAAAATTTAAATTAATTGCATATTGTATTCGTTACAGCTTGTTTCCCTGGACGGTCTGCACAGCGGAGTGCCGACCAGGACGACGCCGACGTTGACGCCAACGACGCTCCGGAGTATCGAACAGACTTTTCTGGAGCTGACCAGTGAGTCAGCGTCGCACAGTCGCGAAGCAGGGTTCGTCCCACCGTTGGTGGAACCTTCGCAACCGACGCCGGCACAAACGCAAAACACGGCGGCGCATCACGTTGTTACCACCACCGTCGCCGCCCCTGTGGCCACCAATACCACCCTCGTGGACAGTCAACAGACGCAACCACAGCAGCCACAGCAGTCACAACAGCCGCAGCAGCCAGCGAGGCGCAATATGGGTGGTAGGAGGCCCACCAGGACGATCGGGATGACTCCCGAGGAGGAAGAGAGACGACAGATTCGCAGAGAAAGAAATAAAATGGCAGCAGCTAGATGCCGCAAGCGAAGAATGGATCACACCAATGCCCTGTTAGAAGTAAATAATCGATGGAATCTATTTTGAATTTGAATTTCAATTTTAGAAAGAAAATAATTTCAGTATATTTAATATGGGTTGGTGAAGAAAAATTTTAATTACAAACTTTTCTTTTTCTTTTTTTAATGATTTGTTTTTTCAAATAGAAATGATAATCGTAAGGATGAGTATTATGTATACAATTTCTTATCTTTTTCTTTATGAATTTATTTGACAGGAGACCGAGGGTTTGGAACAGAAGAAACAGAGTTTGCAAGAAGAGATACAACAGCTGCAACAGGCCAAAGACGAGCTCGAGTTTATCCTGGAAGCTCACAGAGCAGTCTGCCGACTTCGTTCCGCGTCTCCTCCGGACGTGAAACCCGTGATTACCGATGAGCGTTCGAATCTTAACTTCGAACCGATTCGAAGTTTTTCAATACTGTGAAAATTCGAATCCTTCGAACATGATTCGATACTTAAAACCCTTGAAACTCTCGATAAATCTTAAATCTTGAATCTTGGTAATATTTTGAGTCTTCAAAGATTCAAAAGTTTAAGATTTATCAGGACTTTCAAGAGTCTTTAACTATCGGATCATGTTCGAAGTAATTCAATGTTTTCACCACGTGTATATAATTCGAAGCGATTCGAAAGCGTTTCAAAGCGCATCACTACCCGTGATGTAGGATCGGGATCTCCATACCTAACAAACAGGAGCAATAACAACGAGGAAGAAGAAGGTACTTTTGCCTTATCTCCCCTCGATTCTTATGTTTGAGGATTATAATCCCGGAGGTATGGAAGCATCTACGACTACACGAGGCAGCGACGATGATGACGAAATTAAAAAAAAAAAATTGTATTTTTAAAGAACGAAAGCACATCTCCTGGAAAAAATTAAGAATTTGTGTTGAATTAGGAGAGTGTGTTCGAACACGAAGACAAAGAAGTAGAGTACGCTTTAAATATTCAGGGAATCAGTACAGGATAGCCGAGTATTGTAGGATTAGAGCCTTCCCATACCTAAAAAAAATAGGAATAATAATAAGGAGGAATTAAGAGGGCGTTTTGGCGATAGCTACATATTTCTTTAACTTTAACTCATTTTTCTTCTCCTAATTTGATATACGTTTTTCTCGTTTTAAATTAATATTCTCTAGAAGACAAATAATGTTTTAATAGATAATTGTATAACGAAACTCTTTCTTTCTCTCTCTCTTTCTCTCTCTCTGCAAAATACATTTCAAGAAAAGAATTCAACAAGCCCATCTTCGTTCCTCGTTCATCGTGGCGGTTCTTGCCCTCTTTGTATCACACATAATTTTCCATATCAAATTATTCTTACGTATCAAATATATTTTATTCGGGATCATCTTCGCTCGATTCTCGTCGATTGCCCTCGTTCGATCCCGATCCTCGCGAAATAACATTATATTCTTGGAATCGCTCTTCACTCACAACCAATACTCTAGTCCAATATATTCGATCTCTCTCGCTCGGTCCTCAATCACTCGACATCCACGTTACACTTTCACATTTGTAATTATATACTCTACAAATTTGTCATTTTCATCAACTGTTTGTTCATTGTATTTGAGAAGATAAAGAGATCGTGTGTACCATTTCATCGATTGATGAGAAGACACGCGTTTGATTGCATTTTTCCAATGGTATTGAAAGATGAATTTCCTGTTTGTATATACGAGGCAAAAGACTCGTTTTTATTGTGAGAAAACGATAAGATAATAAAAATCGACACAATGACAATGTTTATTATGTATATGTATTATCCGATTGTATAAAGATGAATCGAGTTGACCTTTGTTGCGAGATTCTGGTAATTTTTTATGACGAGAATATTTTACTAGAATCGAGAAATTCAGTATTTGTGTTTCTATCATGGATTCACGCATCACGTAAAATAAACTTGTCAAAAACATTTGCATCTTTATGAAAAGTACTTTTTGATAAATTCGATTTTGCTATAATGACAAAAGCAGAAATAAAGAAAAAAAAGGAAGAAAAATGGGATATTCCTTGTTAATAACATGCGCTTTAGGAAACGTGAATCGCATAGACATTCGAAAAAAGAAGCGAAGTATTTTTTTGCATCATTTAATAATGAATAATTGTAGACACACACAAGTGTGTTTACAGGCAAGTGATATATAATATATTGTACGTAATTGTATTTATTTATTATTTCGTGCGAACGTTTTTACGCAAACGAATTAGAATTATATAAAAAAAAAAAAAAAACC